CCAACCAGCGCTTCAGTACCTCCACAGTGCCATGTCTGTGTGACTCGAACCAGCACCACACAGCCCCTCCTTTCCCTACCATGCAATCCAACATTTAGGGGGAACGTTACCCATTGCTTGCTCGTGTCATCCCGAGGCTACACCGATGCTGTTCCACTAGCAGAGGAGCGAGTGTGTCGCAGAAATACGGGCGAGCCGAGCCGAGCCGAGCTCTAGTAATTGCCATCATTGCCACAACAAGCTAGTGAAACATTTCGCAAGAAAAGCAGATTCTGCGCAGTGCGTATGTTCACTAGAAATTAGACAACTTGTATTTCCCCTGTGCAATACAATATGTTACTTAGTGCTTGACGGCAAGTAAATAACTAGCGTGAAATAGTTTGCCGTTACTTGCTAATACGAGCTTCCCAGTGAAGGTGACAAGCTGCCAAGTTCTCCACTTCACATACCTGTCCTGCAAATTAGCCACATGATTGTTCAGAACATGGCGGGTAGGAGGCTGTATTGCTAATTCCCGCTCCTACCTGCAAACACTGCTCGGTTTGTGTTTACAGCTGAGGGATGAAACACAGACTAACTACATTGTAAAATGTTCTTCGGCGCATGACACTTAAGACCAATCCTCCCGATCTACTACTTCTCGACTTCTTTACCCCGAATGCTCCGATTCCGGAGTGGCTCTTGTTCACTTCACTTCATCATGTAGCCCGCTTAATTGTTTGCTCGGTGTGCGGCACATGGCACTGCTGAGCAATTCTTTTCGTTTTTCGAGTTTTAATAACATAAAATAATTACTGCTTACACCGAATAAAACTTGAGCATTGACAAATGTGCTTGAAAAGCGGGAAATAGAACACAGCAACAGTGATTTCACAATGCAAAAAAAGGGAAAAAACAACAACGACAACAACAACAACAAACAGGAAGAAGGGGAATGTGTTGAAGCACTCGGCTTTACTGGGAAAGCCAGTAGCACCAAATTAGTGGCTTCTAATTAGGATGCTACTTCTTTAGCCTAACCTACACGAACTTCGGCATGGCTTCGCACTTATTCACTGCTACTGCATTCTTTCGATCTCGATCGCCAATAACAGATTTTATACTTCCATCCGATGAATTAGCTGGGGCCTGTTGAAGCATTTGCCAAAATACTTATCCGGGGAATTCTGCTATTCGTCCTCTGTTGCCATCTTCTCCGCCTCAGTTCTAATTCCCCAATACCTCAGCGGAAAAATACATCAGTTCAGTGCAAGTGATGAGAGATGCCGGAGATATCTCAAGCTTCCTAACTCAACACGATATCAACTGTGATTCGGCAAATGCACATAGACCTGCTTCAACAAAACGGCCTGATCACCTTGTTAGTACAGTGAGTATTGCGGTCTTGACTTGATTTCAAACATTTCAGAATCTTTCGGAATAAAAATGGCTACTCATAAGTATACTTGCCGAGTATTAGCTGGTGTGCACAGCTATACGCAAGATCTAGTGAAGCTTTGTTGAATTAATGGCAATTTGGGGACAGAGAATGTCCAGGCGGCTCTGTACCAACTGAAGCTCCAAGTCTGCAGCTGTTGGTGTGTTACTATTTTCTGCAAATAAGCACTTTCATTTATTCGTAATTTTTATATTTCTACATTACACCGGCTTGCTTGTAACAAACTTTCGAAAGACGGACCATCAATAATCTTGCCAACAAGTATTCTGTTAACGCTACTTTCAAAAAAAAAAACAAACAGAAAATGCTCCCTAGACAAAAATTGAGAACAACGACATTTACCCCTACACTATGCATGTCAAAAAACATTATTTGTACTATAGTAATACCAAATATTTTCGAGCATTTATAAAAAATTTCAGCTAATGGTGGTGCATGTATGATGCAATATTTTGGTGCACCATGGCTTTGAGACAAGCGAAATGTACGCTGCTCTAAGCATTTGCGAGAGGAATATTTTCTTTGAAATTCGAATACCGATCTCGAACTGTAACACTTGCCAATACAAGACAAAACGAATGAAAAAAAAGTACGAGTAAAATGAAGACATTACCGTAAGCTTTCTGGCCAGTGCGACGCAGTAAGCCTTGTAGCGTACCGATAGCCCTTTGAATTGCTAGATTGAGATCGCCGTTCAGTTTATCCATCCAAATAAGAAGCAGACTTGTAAAGACGTCACCGGTACCCACAAACATTCCTGGAAGTGCTGGTATATCAAAACGGTACTGAAGTGGAGGTTCGTTTGACCCTGAAAGTGAACAATTTTACGTTTCGGAAATATCTCAAAACACACTGGCTACAACACTGAGTATTTCTCAAAAAAAAAAAAAAATAAAATTAGCAAGGGATGTATTTCTCGTAGCCGATTATACCGACGCTCTGCACTTCTGGGAGAAAACGTGGAAGCGGAGGGACGGGGCGGGACGAGAAACGTTTTCGAACAGGGTACCGCCAAATACATGTTTGTTTTGTACGGGCAGGTCTCCTAGCTGGTACGGTACGTCGTCGTGATCCACAGTGGCAACATTCGAGACTAAGTGATGTTGCTCAGCAAATATCGAAGACAAATCGAAGGGGCTAAGGCCTTGGCAAAATACAGCTAGAAGAATGGGATGGCGAAATGGAACAGAAGCTGAAAAGCTTTTTCTTCCCCCTCAAAGAAAAAAAAAAAAAAATGGTGGGCCGAGTAAAAAACGATCTCCATATACGGTAAAGGGCGAAAAATTCACCTTTGTAAACGGATCCATAGCAGTATTTTGTTGTTGAGGTTTCAAGACCACTCGTTACTACGACAATTTTTACGCCTCGTTCGTGTAATGAATCCACTGCTGCTAAACATTCCTCTTCATTGCTTATCACACGTCCCGATAATTCACTGCAGCAAGAACTTTTCGGCGGAACAATAATTTTCAATAAATTCCAAAATTTCTTTGATTTTTCGATTAAACACAAAAAGCATCAAGGATGGTATGACGTAAATACAATAGACA